CTCTCCATCTTGTTTTTTTTTTTTTGTTTTGTTGTTGTTGTTGTTGTTTTGGGTTTGTTTGTTTTGTTTGGACAGGGTTTCTTACTGAATCCTGAGCCTGACATTTTAGCTACACTGGCAGAGACTGTGGGATCCTCAGGTCTCCACCTCCCCAGCCATGTGAGGTTGCAGGCACACTTCACTGCACTCAGTTGCATGTGGGAGTTGGGGATCTGAACTCTGGTCCCCATGCTTGAGCAGCATTTACTTCGTGGATTGAGCTGTTTCCTCAGTCAGAGCCATTTACAGTCTTGATGGTCACCTTGATTGGATTCAGACACACCTAAAGAAGTCATAAAACACACCTTTGAGTGTCTGTGAGGATGTTTCCAGAAAGGACAAATTGAAGGGTAAAAACCCATCCACCCTTGGTGTGAGTTGCACTGTCACTGTGAGCTGTGGGTCTGGATGGAGCATCATATGTACATAGGCATTCTCTCTCTGCTTTCTGGCTTCCATGATATGAGCAGATTTGCCCCACAAAGATGGGCTGAAACTTGAACCCACATAAACTTTCCCTCCTCTTTTTTGACCACAAATTTTGTCATAAGTACAAAAAGTGTAACTGACATTTGCTTGACATCTGTATATCTTTAGTGAAGATTTAGACTTTTGTTCATTTGTAAATTGAGTTATCTAGATTTTTATTTTTGTTTAGTTTTTTTGAGTCTGGTCTCAAGCCGAGACTGACTTTGGACTTGCCATATAACTAAGGTTGGCCCTGCCCTCCTGTTCCTCTGCCCTCCATCACCTCAATGCTATGACAACAGGTGTGGGCCACTGTGCCTGGCTGGGCTGTCTGTGTTCTTCCTTGCTTCGGAGTTTTCAGAGTTGTGTATACATTTTGGGCAGCAATCCTTTACCTGCTGCGCTTTGCAAAGATTTCGTCACAATCTGCAACTCTTCAATGCTGTTTTTAAAAATTACACTTATTTGTGTGTGTCCACTGCTTGGTGTGCATGTGCCATAGCACTGGTGTGGAGGGCAGAAGACAAGTTGTGAAGGTTAGCTCCCTCTTTCCACCATGTGGTCTCTGGGACCAGACTCGGGTCAAGTTTGGCAGTAAAGTGCCTTTATTCGATGAACCATTTCACTGGCCTCTTAATTCTCTTAATCCCTGATTCCCATACCATCCCTTCTCCTTCCAAATCTACGGCTTCGGGTATGCTCTACCAGGGATTTGTGTGTCAGATCTGCCCAATAAGTTTGTGATTACCCTTGGCTTCAGAACTTAGTCTAGAAATGGATCTCAGCACTCAGATCCGGGATGCCTTCTGTTAGGTTGCTATAACAATAGGATGAAAGCCTGAATTTTGGGGAAGATTTATGTATGTGCACATGAATGCAGATGCCCGCAGAGGCCAGAAGAGGCCATCAGATCCCTGGAGCTGGAGTTACAGTGGCTGTGAGCTGCCAGACATGGGTGCTGGAAACCAAACTCAGATCCTCTGCAAGAGAAGCTAGCACTTTTAACCAGTGAGCTGCCTCTCTAGCCCCATAAGTTTGTTTTCGGACAACCTTAATGAGGTTAGGTTTATGTATAATAAAATGTGTAGTTTGTTTTGACACAGGGTCCTGTGTACTTCAGACTGGCTTCAACTTATTATGTAGCCCAGGCTGGCCTTAAATTCTTGCTCTTCCTGCCTCAGTCTTCCCAAGTGCTGGGATACAGTGTGCACCGCCAGCTGTCCAGCTCTGAGTTTTCAGAGACACTTGTGCAGCTGTGTTCACAGCAACATTATTCACAAATGCCAAAGGGTGAGAGGAAGTAATTTAAGAGTCTTTCAACTGATGAATGAGTGGCACTGAGGATATGGTGCAATATGGAAGGCTTCCCTAGCATGCACAGAGCCCACAGAGCCCTGGCTGGGTTCAGTCTCCAATTGTAAAAGTGCAACACAACAAAGTACTAGATGACTAGGTGATCAGAAGGTTATATACTTGCAGGTAATGGAATACTCCTTCATCTTCAAAAGGAATCTGTCACAGGTATGGTAGCTCATGATCTCAGTACTTTCGAGGCTGAGGTAGGAGAATTACCATGAGTTCAAGGTCAGCCTGGGAGAGAGAGGAAGGGAAGAGAGGAGAGGAGAGGAGAGGAGAGGAGAGGAGAGGGGGAGAAAGGAAGGTGAGAGGAAAGGGGGCTGCAGGGGAGGGGAGTGGAGGGAAAGAAAGGAAGGAAGGAAGGAAGGGAGAAGAGGGGAAGGGAGGAGGAAGGAGAGGGCAGAGGGGAGGGGAAGGAAAGAGAGGGGATGATGAGATGATGTGATGGGTAAAAGCACTTGCTCCCAAGCCTGATGACCAGATGAGTTTGGTTCCCTGAGACCCATATGATGGAAGGAGACAATCAGCTGTTGAAGTTTGTCCTCTGTCCTCCTCACACAGGCAGCCACACACACACACACACATAAAATAATGTTTTAAAAATAAACTGAGTTTCAAGAGTAGTGTCATAGTGTCATGGTAGTACTCAAGAGACAACCATGTCCTCAGATTAGAACTGGGACCAGGACCATAGCAGATGCAGTTAAAGATCTCCAAATAAGAGATGGTCCTGGTTTTAGACTGGTCCCACATCTAATAGCAGATGTCCTTATAACAGACAAGCAGAGTGGCTGGGGTATAGTTCAGTAGGAGGGCTTGCTCAGCATGCAGGAAGCCCTGGGTTCCGTTCCAACTTCACAAAACCTAGGCATGGTGGTGCACACCTGTCACCCCACCCCAGAGGAGAGAGGCTAAAGAATCAGGAACTCAAGATTATCCTCAGCCACATACATGATGTGTTCAAGCCAGCTTGATCTACATGAGATCCTGTCTCAAACAAAACAAACTCAAGAGTGGGCACAAAGAACAGTGCTGTGAACACTAGACTGCAGTGACATATGCTAGCTATGCAAGGCTGGACTTGCCCACCTCCATCAGTTGCTGAGGGAGAAGCATGGATTGGACTCTTCCTCAGTGCAATATGAGGAAGCACTGGAACACCTCTTGACTCCTGGCTTCTGGTCCTGGAAGATAATTTGCTGTGTGCTCAGCCCACCATTTTGAAGTCCCAGCTGTCAGATCATAAGAGCAGCAGCTCTACAGGTCTTTGGTTTCCACAGTGAGAGAATTTGTCGCAGTATATGAGAAGATAGTTGTAAATAAACCCCAAAGGAGCCAATGGGATATGTCAGTTATCTGGAGGCTCCTCCCTTCCCCCCGATGTGCAGGTCTTGCAGGACCATCCATCAAAGGCCCCTGTATTCCTGACTAAAGAAGCATAAATTTGAGATTCACTTGCCATAGGGACAAGAAAGGGATGGGGTCTCCAGGGTGTCTGGAGGAGATGGGAAGAGACCTACAGCACACTTGCCAAGCTTAAGTCAAGTGACTTACGGTAGCCATCCAAAGCCTAAGCAGGACCAATCAGAAACATTTTCCCAAATATGAGGGTGCCTGAGAAGGCATGGTCCTCATTTCATTTTCTCAGAAGTCATCTTCTCTCAGGTGGTTTCCAGTGGGTCCCGGCGGGTGAGTCCATTAGTGCTCCCCTCCCATGCTTCTTTCTGCTCATTCTTCCCCATGCTCCTGCTTCCTGGCTGCTGACAAAGTCCTCATGGAGGAGAGCCCTAGTGACAAGAGGTCACTTTCCCAGAATGCTTTGCAACCCAGAGTTAGTTACAGCTAGGTTTGGGCAGTTCTAGAATTCTTTAGAGAGACAAGATGATTGCATGAGGGAAGCCCCTGTCTCAGGTGCCCGACTGAATGCCATTGCATTCGAACAGGACACTTGGTGCTGTGATAGACAGCCTGTACACAGGAGAGGAAGACAAAGCCAGCCTCTGAGCCACCTACTCTGTGCCCAAAGCTACCTGGAATGGATGGTTTGTTAGAAGCACACAGGAAATTTCTGTTACTTCATCTCTTACAGTTGGAAATTCTGTTTTGAATTTCATCTGAGAATATCATTTCCAGGCTAAGGCTCAGAGAAATCACTTAGTGGCCTGGCCACACACACTCCCATACTCCAACACACCTCCTGGTCCCAGGGATACAGGAACCCAGGTGGAATGAGACCCACAGAGTGTGTTTATTTCTGGTGATGATAGCAGCAGAGAGGGATTGGCCAGACACAGAGGGGGGTCAGAAGGGGCAGACGCTAGAGGGGATGTCTGTTCAGGGAACATCAAGGATTTGTCTGTTGACATTCACGGTGAGATCACAGGCCAGAACAGCAAGACTTAGACAACAGCAAAGGGACAGACAGATAGACAGACAGAGGGATAGGGCAGGGGTCCCCAGACATGCACAACCCCTTGCCTCTAGGGGGAACTCTGGGGATAAGAGACTGATGGATGATGGAGGCTGCAAACCTCCCACCCTGAAACAGGGGGCTGGACCTGCAGCCTCCTAGCCTCACACCTCCAGGATAAGGAGGGGCAGGCCCAGGCCGCCCCGCACCAGCAGCTCGGACGTTATGGCTTCGAGGAGATGAGTTCACAGTCCGGGCAGGAAGGGATGGGATCCTGAGGGCACCTGGTCTGATCCCAGGCCTAGACCAGACCTAAGAAACAGGAGTGGAAGGGAGAGGAGAGGCCTGAGAAGGTTAGGGAGTAACCATTGTTGGCTGTATCAGCTCCAAGGAGGGAGTGGTCATCGGAGCCCAGACTCCTCCCTCAGACCCAGCCCTCCTCCCTCAGACCCAGGGGCCAAATACCAGCCCTCCTCCCTCAGACCCAGGGCCCAGACACCAGCCCTCCTCCCTCAGACCCAGGGCTCTAGGCCCAGCCCTCCTCCCTCAGACCCAGGGCTCTAGGCCCAGCCCTCCTCCCTCAGACCCAGGGCTCTAGGCCCAGCCCTCCTCCCTCAGACCCAGGGCTCTAGGCCCAGCCCTCCTCCCTCAGACCCAGGGCTCTAGGCCCAGCCCTCCTCCCTCAGCCAGAGCTCAGAGGCACACCTGCCTTCCCTGGGTCTCACCCTCACTCTGAGTTCTCTTTCTCTGAGAGTCCTTTGCTACCTTTTGTGAAACTGGTCAGTGTCTTCTCCTGGAGTTGGGAATGAAAGAGAACAACCCCCTTACCCAGTGGGAAGCTTCTACCCCCCCTCCTTATCTACATGCTCTCTTCACTTAGTTCCCAGGGGATGTGAGAAATGATATCCCCATCCATTCTACCAGTGGGGAAACTGAGGCACAAAAGATAAATCCCTAAAAATCAGAGAAAGACAAGGTTATGGAAAGGGGCCACAAGGCAGGTCCAGGGCTCAGAGAGCTGAAACTTTGTCCTGGGGTTACTGGGGAACCACAAAGAGCTGACAAGCAGGCTATGGGCAGGGGCTGTCTAGACAGAGGCCGTCAGTCTGTGACCACACACAGCACCATGAGCTGAAACTCAGGGGCTGTGCCTGGCCTCCAGCAAACGGCACCTACAGTGCCTTCTAGCACTGTGGTTTCCTGGAAGTTTCCAGAGAAGTGGAGTGAGTGAGATCATTGGAAGAGTGACTACATAGGAGGACCAGCCTATGTCCTCACAGTGGGGTCCCAGCTCTCAAGATCTCAATCAACCCTGAGCTCTGGGCCAGGCTGTTCAAGCTACAGGAAAAGGGGCTTGTGGGGGCGGGGCAGGCGGGGTGATTCTCAGTGGAGAGAGGATTTGACTCAGGGTTAGGGTTAGCCTCAGACTCAGACCAAGGTTTAAGTTTAACCGCAGAATCAGCCTCAGATTCTGACAAAGGATCAACTCTGACTTAGATTCACTCCATAGCCCAAGCAGACCTGAAACTGACTCAAGGTCAGTAGCCCAGGCTGGCTTGAAACTCAAGACAGACTCCTTGTCTCATTATCTCAAAGCTGCCTTACAGGTGTGAGCCATGGCACCCTGTTTATACACTGTCCCAGGGTGACTTGTTCATTAGAATACCAAAGTAGGGGCTGGAGAGATGGCTCAGGGGTTAAGAGCACTGACTACTCTTCCAGAGTTCAATTCCCAGCAACCACATGGTAGATCACAACCATCCATTATGAGATCTGGTGCCCTCTTCTGGTGTGCAGATATACATGGAAGCAGAATGTTGTATACATAATAAATAAATCTTTAAAAAAAAAAAAGAATACCAAAGTAGTGGAAAAGTACCAAGAAATAAAGATTAACATACTGAAATCTACATTATTCTAAACATAACTTACAGTAATCTCACTTTCTTGGCTTCAGTGGAAGCAAATTTGTCAATGTTTTCAAAGTGGACATCTTTGCAGAGAATGACAGTTTCTGTGGACCCACAGATGAATGTGTGTGTGTGTGGTGTATATATGTGTGACTTGTGTGTCCTGTTCATGTGTGTGTTGTATGTGTGAGGTGCATGAGTGTTCAGGTGCCCACACCTATGTGTACACGGTCTATGCACACACACACAGAGGCCAGAGCATACGTGGATCCTCCGTAGGTGCTCTCTCCCTTATGCCTTGAGACAGGTCTCTCCCTGAGCCAGAAGCTCACATGTCAGCTAGGCTGGCTGGAAGTGAGCTCCAGGACCTTTTAACACTGTGGTTACAGACATGGTAGCCACCGGTGCTGGGGATTCAGACTCAGGTCATCATCTTGCAGATCAAAGGCTCTTACCCACTGTGCCATCTCCCCAGTCCCACCCTGTGTTTTGATGCAAGGTTTTTCTCTGGGACCCTGGACTCATCAGTTAGGCTATGCTGGCTGGCCAGTGAGCCCCAGGCTCCCATCTCTGCCTGATCACAGCTGGGATTGCAGAGTGTGACTCCAGGCCCATCTTTTGCCTGCCTTCTGGGGATTTAAACACGGCCCTCATGCTTGCAGAGCAAGTGCTTCTCTAACTGAACCATCCCTCCAGCCCAAGACAGTACTTTAAACAGCTTCTGCAAGGCTGAGAGGTGTCTGCACAGCTTCTAATACAAAAGCGGCCACTGGTGGGGGCTGGAGAGGTAGGTGGCTTGAAGGTTGAAAGCACTGGCTGCTCTTCCAGAAGACCTGCCCACCTGAACTCCTTCTAAGCCCCTCCCCAATACCCTCTCATCCACAGAGTTCTCCCATGGTCTATGCAGAAGGCCTTCTACCTCAGAGGACTAGCACCACAGCCCCTAGGTGAGAAACAAACACACATCAGTCTTTACAGTGGACATTGTCCTGGTTCATTTTGTTGTGTTGTGTTTGGGATTTACTGTTATTGTTGTGAGTGTGGTTTGTGGTATTGGAGACCAAACTGCACATGGCAAGCAAGTGCTCTGTTGCTGAGCTACACCCTCCCGCCTGATATTTTCTTCATTAAAAAATTGTTCTCACCCGCTACACCACCATCTACTAATATTCACACCTTACTCTGAGGGAGAGAAAAAAAAAAGGTTTTTATCACCCAGTTCCTTCCTATATTTTGTGTTTAGCATATGTGGGAAAGAACAGCAGCTGGCCACTGCAGAGTACTCCATGAGCCGAAGCCTCACAGGGGCCCTTACCATAGCTGCATAGCTGCTAGCCACAGGCTGATGTCCAGGGAGAGAAAACAGCAGAGGAGCAGAGAGGTTGAGTGACTTGCCCCAACCCACACAGCACTCCCAATGCCCATGCACGACAGAGGTGGCCTCCACTCACCTCCACGAGCTGGTGCCAGTGCTCCACAGGTTTTCTCGGATTGGCCAGCATCTCTGCCCAGTGCTCTCTGCCGTGTGGGTCTGCAGCCTCTGGACCCACTCGGCACACACCGATCACCTCATTGTGGCCAATGCTGGGGATTAGGGAAGTGTTTACTGGAAAGGTCAGGGGAGGGAGCCATCCACATTCCACCATGGCTTGCCCCACCTGGTCGGTGTTGCTGGCTCACCAGTCGTAGTCCACCACTGCGATGCTGAGCCCCACATTCTCCACACTCTCCGGAGCCACGTCGAACACCAGGGCCTCATTGTATGTGGGGTTCAGCGTGTTCTTCTTAATGGAGGTCTTCCGCTTCTTCAGACGTCGCCCCTCACTGATCAGAGAGGCCTTCACATAGGGGTCTGTGCAGAGAAGTCAGGGGACTGAGCAGAGGCCTCTGCCCTCAGGCCCAGGGGTCCAGGCTTTTGCCCTCCTGTCTCAGACCCCAACCTTCTTCCTCAGGCCTCAACCCAGACACACCTGAGAAGCCAGTGAGGTCCATTGCTTTGAGGTTAGAGGCTTTGATGATGGTCACGGTGAGGCGCCCAGCCGTGGGGAGGTAGCAGAGTGAGAAGTTGAGCTCCCCAAGATCTGCCTTTTCCTGCAGTGGGGACAGAGGGCAGTGTGTGACCCTTTCTCTCTGCGGCTCTCTCCATCCTGCCTCCTCTTTGCACCACTGTTAGGTTCCCATGCACTGAACAGTCTGACTCTTGACCAAGGCCCACAGCTGTCCTGCCATAGCTGTTCACTGCCAGCAAAGCCAGCTGTGTTCTGTAGACAAGAGGGTGTGGCACAGAGACCAGGGAAAGGGAGACAGACAGAAACTGAGAGGAGGTAGAGAGAGGCAGAGAGACAGAGAAACAGATAGAGATTGGAGAGGCAGAAACCCAGAGAAATAGGCAGAGGGAGAGAGACAAGCTGACTATGGAGAGCTCCTTATGGAAGCACTGTGGGCACCTGCTTAGACCATGTCCCCCACTGACAGACAGCTGAGGACACCAGGGTTCAGAACTTCCCTCTCTTGATCTGAGGACATGCTTGTCTCACCCCTCAACCCCTGGCTTCCCCAAACTGGTGGATAGAAATTGGGGCTGTGTGTGAGGCCTGAGGACCCAAGGGCTCAGGACACTCAGCCAGGCCTAGGCATGGTACTAGGGCTGCAGAGGAATGACAGGCCCTATGGCAGAGGTCACAAAATCAGAGGGTCAGGAGTGTGGGCTTTTGGGTCTGATGCTGGGAAAAGTGTGGGGAACCGAGGGCATCGGATGTCTGAAGATCCATGTGGCAGGATTCCCAAGAAACCCCCCAAAAAGACAGAAGGAAAGAATAGGAAGGCTTTGAAGGTGGGGATGTGAAGAATTAAGAGCGTCAGAGAGCACCTTCAAGTCTGAAAATGATCAAGGGGATGTGGGGAGGGAAAGACATGGCGGGGAGGGGCGGAGGGAGGAGTTGGATAGTGACATCTGGGTCAGAGGGCAGAAAGTCACAGGGATGAGTGTGAAGTCCTAAGATATCCAGGTGGGAATCTAGGCTGAGGGCCTGCCTGACAATAGTGTTTCATAACGCTGGGGAGGGCAGAGACCCCCCTCCATGTCCCTCTACCATCCTAGCTTCTATGTCTGCAATATTGCCTTAAAAATAATGCTTTTAACACTCAGGGTTAGGAGTGGTGAGTACTGGGGTGAGGAGAGAGACAAGTGGGGGCCTCAGGATGCAGGGGGGCAAGAGTTGGTGCAGGAGGCCATTGTGGATGGAGCCACTGACCGAGCCACCTTCCAGGATGTCCCTCCAGAGTGGACGGTCAGGGGGCTGCTCAGCCAGCTCCAGCAGGTTGTCCAAAACCACCTGACCAATGAGATCATGCCTCGAGAAGCGGTCAAAGTCATAGACACTGAAATGCAGCTTGCGTTGTGCCAGCTCGGCCAGGGGTACCGAGAACTGAAAAGTCTCATTGAAGACAGGGTTCAGCGTCTTCCTGTGCACCTGGAGGGAGACAGACAGGATGTCCACTGGCCTTGTTCCTAGAATCAGTAGGCCATGTGCTCCTTGTCTACCCCAACTGTCCTGTCCCAGCCTCCTCTCTCAGACCCAGGGGACCTCCCAAACCTCCTCTTTCAGACTCAGGATACAGACTTCAGCCCTCTTTCCTCAGAGTCAAAGATCCAGATCCAGCCCTCCTGCAGACATGGAAGTCCTCCCCAGCCTTTCTCTTTCAGGCTCAGAGATCCATATCCCAGGCCTCCTCCCTAAAACCCAAGCCTCCTCCAAAGCCTTCTTTCTCAGACCCAGGTCCAGACCCCTGTCTTCCCCACTCAGACCCAGAGATACAGACCCAGAACTTCTGCCCCCACCCCACAAGTTAGGCCCCTAACCCCCTTCTTCTGACCCAGACATCTTCCCCAGACTCCCTTCTCAGACTCAGGATATAGACCTCAGTCCTCTTTCCACAGACCCAGGGGTCCAGGCCCCTGCCCTCCTCCCATAGACCCAAAGCGCTTGATCTCAGCCCTCTCCCTCAGACCCAAGGGTCCTCTCTAGTCCCTCCCTTAAACCTCGTGGATCCCACACACACTGTGAACCCTTTCTCCTTGCCCTGACCTTGGTCTGGAATTTCTTTTTGCGATCAGGCAGAAGGTAGATCTTGACATAGGGATCTGAGAACCCATTGGAGTCCTTTGCTGGGAGGTCCAGGGCCTGCAGGATCCGCACCACAAGCTGGTCAGAACCATAGAGATACCGCAGGGCAAAACTGATGCGGCCACAGGGTGCCCCTGCCTCCCCAGAGCCCCCGCCGCCTCGCCGGCCACCCGGTCCAGTGCCCTGGTACAGCTCTGGCTTGATCTGACCGATGAGCTTGGCTTTTTCTTCACCACCCGGAAGGGGTAAGGGCAGTGCAGGCGGCCGCTCCTCGCTGCTTGGGTCTGCTTGGGTGGTCAGGGTCTGCTGGGTGAGGGGCCGGGGCAGGGCTGGGTACCTGTGTGTCAGGGGGAGACCAAGGTGAGGTTCAGATCTAATTCCCAGCCAAGTATAATCCTGTCCTCCACCAGATAAGACACCCAAGTTGGTGGCCAGAATGACTTCTTCATCCTGATACCCCACCCAGACCCTCAAAGTCACTTTCATCCTGACCCTCCACCTCCCTAGCCTGTCACTGCTCTCTGTAGCTAGGGCTTGTTCCTGACTGAGCCTGCCTGGGATACTGGTCTTCATTTCTCCCTCTCTAGATAGCTCAAGAGTTGGCACTGTTCCTCCTTGGCTCACATCCCTGCTGTGGCTCCCTAGTGCACTCAGGACACAGCCTTTATACCTGCCACTTCTAGCCTTGCTGATCTGGTGTCTGTAGCTTCGTGTCCCAGGCTTTGTCCAGATTGTGTTCCCTGCTTGCCTGCCTCCTGGCTTTTCCCACCGAGAACTTGGTCTCTTCTGTTCTCACTTTCTCCTGCCTGAAATGAGCCTGTATACACCCCTTCCTGCACATCTGCCTTAGCTTCCCCTCTGTGTGAATATCTACCAAGGTACCTCCACCTCCAGGGACCTCTCAGCTTCCTCCAAGCCTGGGCAGGAATCTCCATGGGGCTCTTGGCAGTGCCCAGGGCTGCTCTCCTGTCTTCCTAGCTTGCACCCTTGGAAGGTCAGAGCCCTGAGAGTGGGGCCTGGGGCACAGCTCCCACCAGACCCTACGCTTACATGCATAGATGAGGAAGATTGAGAGTGCTCAGGTGAATAGAGGGTAGAGGTTACTAATCACAGCTTACACTAAATGGGATCAATAATTGCCTACACCTCAGACCACCCCTGCCCCCCAGTACTGAGATTGAACCTAGGGCTTTCTGTAAGCTAGGCCAGAACACCTCCCTGAGGGAACCTTCAGTCACACCCCACTCCCTCTCTGGAGAATTCTAGGCAGGTGCTCTCCCACTGAGATACATCCAAGCCTTTTTATTTATTTATTTATTTATTTGTTTATTTATTTATTTATTTATTTTAGAACAGGTTTCACTAAGTGCCTAGGCCAGCCTCAAACTTTAGGCCCTCCTGTGTTAGCCTGTGAAATGGCTGGCATAACATGGACACTACTATGTTGGCTTCTAACCCTGGATTCTTGTCCAGGCTGCTTTTGTATCTGAACCCAGAAATCCAAGGCCCTGCTTCCTTCTTCTTAAGTCTGTGAGTCTAGGCCTTAGTCTTGTCCTCCCTAGGATCCAGGAGTCAGTACTCCACTACCTGTCCTGACCCTGATATCAGAAGAGCCAAAGATAAGCTGGGCGTTGGTGGCCAATGCCTTTAATCCCAGCACTCAGGAGGCAGAGGCAGGCGGATTTTTGTGAGTTCGAGGCCAGCCTGGTCTGCAAGAGCCACAGAGAAACCCTGTCTCAAAAACGCAAAACCAAACAAGAAGAGCCAAAGATAAGAACAAGACAGAAAAGAGAGGCTGAGCCTCATAGTGAAGCCCCAGCCCAATACCGTCTCTCACCTGGTGGTGGGTGCTAGACTCGTGACCTGCTGATGGGACTGGGCACTGGGCAAGCCCCCACCACTGGGAGGCAGCAGGAGCAGCCCAGAGCCTGTCCCACCCTCAGAAGGCAGCTCCGGGGATGTCTGGCTTGGTTTGACCCCAGCGGCTACCACAGAGGCCACAGCTGCCTCTGGATATGAGTCCATGTCCAGGTAGGAAGGTTCTGGAGGCTCAGCACCCCCAAGGCCACCTGGCTCCAGCAGCTCAGCAAAGGGCGGGTGGTGGGCTGTGTGTGCATGATGGTGTGGGCCACCTAGCAGGGGATGGCCACCTAGGCTGGCTCCTAGGTGGTGCCCACCACCTCCTACCAGGCCTGCCAGCCCAACCCCAGGGGCTAGGTCTTTTCGCAGGGGGCCACCGCCCACTGCTGAGCCTCCTTTGTCCCTCCAGGGCACCCAGCACAACTTCCAGGACACGAAGAGAGAAACACCCAAGAGGACGATGCCACAGAACGTCACGATGACTGACAGCAGGCTCACGGAAATGTCTGGAAAGAGTGAAGAGAGGGGCCAGGGATCACAAGGGGTCAGTGCTGTCCCAAGAATATCTGGCATGTACCGTCCTGAGTATTTTCCCAGTATGTCGGCTTCATCTGTGGTCACACTGCTATATAATGGCTGTGGATTATATGTGGATAATGTGGCTATATAATTACAGTGGCTGTGGGATTCACATCACATTCTGTAGGTAGCAGGTGACAGATTGGAGATGAAAGTCCTGAAGACTCTCTCCAAGTTTTGTTCTCGCCACAAATAGCCCATCTTGCTTCTCTGTCATAGGACACTTTTGAAGGACAAGACCCCAGAAAGCTTGGAGACCATTCAGGAAAACCTTTGCTATCTGTCCTTGGGACTCTACCTTAACCTCTGAGGCACTTACAGTTTGCATTTGGCAAGTGGGATGAATCAACTCTGCTCTTTGTTGCAGTTGACAGTAATGAAGGCAAATGACAGGTGGAATACAACAGCAAATATATGCTGAGATGTGACAATATAACTGAAATCTCAGGCACCCTGTGACGGACAACATAATCATTCCAGTTTTGACAACAGGAAGTGAGGTCCAGAGACATGATATGATCCCTGGGACTGGGGAGACACCTCAGTCAGTGAAGTGCTTGCTGCACAAGTATGGCGCCTGAGTTTGGATTTCCAGTGCCTACATAGAAAGGCTGGGCGGGCTGGCATGTACCTGCAATCCCAGCACCGTCTTCAGGAGCTTGCTGGCCAGTCAGCCAGCCTACTTGGTGAATGAATGAGTCTGTTTCAAAAAACAAGGTGGACAGTGCCTAAGAAATAATACCTATGGTTGACCTCTTGACCTCTGGCCTCCTTCGAGAGCAGGCGCGCGCGCATGCGCGCGCACGCGCACGCGCACATACACACACACACACACACACACACACACACACAGGTGCCATACTTCAAAACCTATGTTCTTTTTTTTTTTTTTGGTTTTTTGAGATAGTGATTCTCTGTATTGCTTTGGAGGTTGTCCTGGAACTTGCTCTGTAGACCAGGCTATCCTCGAACTCACAGAGATCCACCTGCCTTTGCCTCCCGAGTGCTGGGACTAAAGGGTGAGCCACCAATGCCCAGCTAAAACCTATGTTCTTCCTATCATAACTCAGTATTGCTTGATGAACAGTGGCCCCAAAGAAACTTCCTTATTCAGATAATCAGTCTCATGACTGCAGTCACATGATATAACACACTCACTGGTACCTTCTGAATGCCGGTAGCATGCTGAGAAAACCCAGCATGGCCCGTTTCTTGAAACCAGTGTTTTGTGGTACTCTCAGTAATTAGTACTAGGAGTGGGGTTTTGTGGCTCCTTTGGTAGTGACACCAGGAGTGGAGGTTCATGGGTGTAACTCTCCAGGCTGTGAGAGTTTATTTTGGAGGTGACTCCTACGATTGGAGGTAGAATAAGGATGAGACCTTGCTCTATCTATATGGAGAGCCATGGTGGGTGGGGACAGGTAACTCAGTCATTGCTATCTGGGACATCCAACTATAACTGTGGTGTTCAAGGAACCCTCAGGAAAAAGAAAACACCTCCTCGATCTAGATCACCCAGGGAAGCAAAAGCAGGGTGTAGCATTAATCCTTATGCTACTGTGTAACCTGCATGTGATATAGCCCATTTCCCAGCTGAGAAGACTGAGGCTGTGGGAAAGGGGAGTCTCAGGAACATGTACAGGCATCAGTGCAAGAACTCTAAGCTTTGTTCCGCCACCTCCCTTAAGGGTGCTCCTGTCTAAGTGGCCACTCCACCCCACTGAGAGTCCTAGTGCTACTGGGAACCAGAGTCCAGGATTTTAGCAGCCTTTTGGACATGGGAGGCACCAGGGCATGGGGTCATAGAGGAAACTGGCCAGGTGCTTCTAACATTGCCAGTACAGGATCCCCATCCTAGAGAACTCCAGGTCCTCCAAGCCTCTCCAGCTCCCCATGACTATCTGACCAGGGAAGCTGTGTGCCCAAGCCTGGCCAGCCCCTGGAGAGTTCTAAGCTCTTGAGATGTCCTCCCTGCTGTCTTGGGCCGTGCTGGGCAGTGCTAAAGTATGTTGGGAGCTATGGGTCATTAGCTTACACTCTGGAGGGGCTAAAGATTAAGGGCTGCCATGCAGACAGCCCACCACATCTACCTGTGATGGCTGCTCTTCATTGTTAAGTTGGCTAGATTTAAAATCACCTAGGAACTGGGAGTGGGTGGCACATGCCTGTCATTTCAGTACCTCGGGGCTGAGATAGGAGGATTATTGTGAATTTAAGGCCAGCCTAGGCTACATAGCAAGTTCCAGGCCAGTCTGTGTTACAGAATGAGACCCTATATCACAATGTAAAACAACAAGGGGCTGGGGAGGTGGCTCAGTCAGTGAAGTATTTGTCCTACAAGCATAAGGGTCTCAGTTCACTCTCTAGAGCCAACATAAAAATAGCCAGGTGTGGTGGTGCAGACTTGTAATCCCAGCACCCACAGACACAGACTGGCAGATCCCTGGGGCTCACTGACCATTCAGCCTAGCCCACTTGATGAGTTCAAGGCTAACAAGAGACCTTATCTCAAAAAAGTAAAAGGCATGTGTCAGCAGTTAAGAACACCTGCTGCTCTTGTAGAAGACCTGGGTTTCATTCCTAGCACCCACATGGTAGCTCACAACCATCTGTCATTCCAGTTCCAGGGGATCTGACAGCCTCTTTTGGTCTCTGTGGGCACCAGTAGGTATATGGTGCATAGCCATACATGCAAGTAAAATGTGTAGACACATAAAATAAAAATAAATAAAAAAGTAGATGGCTTCTTAAGAGTTTCTGACTTCCAAATGCATGCACACACACACACACACACACACACACACTCAAGAAAACAGCAAAATCCTAAAAGCCTGGGGAACACCCCATGTATGTGAGGGCATTTCCAGAGAGGATTCATAGAGGAAGAACCCTGAGTGCAGCCAGCACTGGCCTATGGGTTGGAGGCCCAAATGCAATAAAAGAGGAAAGACAGCTAGCACTAGAATCCCTGGGATCCTTTGCTTCCTGGTCAGCCACGGCATCTGTGCTGCTGTGCCCCAGGGCCTTCTCGCTATGATGGAGCTACACCTCCAAACCCATGAACTAAGTAAACCTTTCCTTCTTTGTTTCCATCAGGGATTTGGCCACAGTGATGCAAAAGTTAATGAACACATCACATGACTCAAACAAAACCTCTAAGCACTAAGGTTTTGGGGAGCTTCTCTGGTGGATAATGTGTCACATACCAATAATGGGAGAATTAAAGGTGACCTGCGACCTCACTGGACTCTGCACCTCCAACTCCCCATCCCCCACCATCATCCCTGCTTTTGGCTGGTTTAGTCTGTAGCTTTTTGGTGTAATTAATTCTCCCAGAGCTAGGTACAGTGGTTCAGCACCTGGGAGACTGAGGTAGAAGGGTTGTTTCAAGTTTAAGACCAACCTGGCTCCATAAGACCCTATCTGATCCCCAACTCTCCTCACCAAAAAAAGAAAGAAAGAAAAGGAAAGAAAAGAAAAGAAAGGAAAGGAAGGAAAAAGAAAAAGGAGGGAAATAAAAAGATTAATGATTTCTGAAGGGAATTTTGGGGGCTATAATTAAGGAGGAGGAGACCTACAACTCCAAGGTCAGGGGTTAGATAGACCAAACACACAGCTATTTCTGCCAGTTCAGTGGTTTAGGGACAGAGCAGCAGAAGGCAAGACTTTGAACCAGGCTACCCATTAAAAGGGGTGGAAAGCTGAGCAGCCCTGCTCTGACCTTCCGAAGTCTTTGCTGTTGTGGAGTTGGGTAGAAGGCAGAGGCTGGGTGGGACAGCTGGGGATCTGACCTGCATCCGGACCCCGGGGATAGCCTCTGATTCGAAGTTCGTTGAACTCTTGGCACCTGTCATTGGTGTCAGCATCTCGGACCCGTGCACAGAGGTCTGAGACCAGGATGAGAGCCCGCCGACAGAGGTCATCTTCGTAGTCCCCAGACATAGTGGCCACGTGGTCCTACACATAAGAGTGGGGTGGGAGAGACACAGATGGAGAGGCGAGCAGTTGCAGGGTTAAGGAAAGAAAGCTTGTGGGGACTGGTAAAGTGGCAGAGGCCAGAGGGTGGTGGCTCAGGGCCAGGATTAGAGGACAGACAACAACAGACAGGTGTAAGGACAAGTCTTGGGATCACCATGAGAGAGGTGAAAGGAGCAAACAGATCAACAGAGCCCAGCAGGGCACTCTCAGACTGAAAAAACATGCCCCCAGGGGACCACAAGGTAAGAAGTCGGGGCAGGCACTCTGTGACCCAAAGTGGCAGGTGGAGGCAGCCATCAATAGTGGGCAGCCTGCCCGTGGCAGGTAAAAGCATTTTGGGCAGGTGGAACAGCTTTGGTGGAAGGCTCAGAGTGGAAAGCTGCTGGAGGGTTGGAGGAAGAAGAAAGAGTCACACGGCGGCAGACAGACACCCCAAGTTGAGGAAAGGGGAGCTAAGAGGAGAGATGGAGATAAAAGAGAGAACTAAATGAAGTCCAGTAGACAGGGAATGATGATTACACAGAATGAGGAGGGGCTGGGGGCATGTGTGTACTTCTTTATATCCAAGACATGGTGCAGAGGGGCAGGGGGGGGGGGGGAAAGGGGGGGGGGGGGGGGGAGAAAGAGAGAGAGAGAGAGAGAGAGAGAGAAGCAGGGCAGGCTGGAGTGTGGGCAGAAATACCTTCCAAATAGAGACAGGTAGATCAGAAGAGAGAGAAGATGCTGAATTCCTGGTCCGATAGCCAGACTATGGCTGGGGATCTCAGATACAAGGCAAGAGAAGAGAGTTGGGCACACAGAGACATCCAGAAGCATGGTCAGAAAAAAAGAAAAGGGAGCAAAAGGTGGAGGTGGGAGAGGAGAGAGTGACACAAGGTTTGGGGCTAGACATCAGACATAGGTAGAAAAGGGGGCCTGTAAGGAAAGAGCCAGAGTCAGGTGAAGGGGGGCTGCTGAGGAAGATTCCCATTTGGCCAGGGTCAAACTCACCTGTGCTTACCCCTGCCTTGTCCTGGGTGGCAGCCGAGGTGGCGGAGGGCGGTAGCCCATGGGGGTTGCAGGGTGGACGAGCCTAAGCCGCTGCGGACCAGTCCCCACGCTTGCCAGGTGGAAAGAAGGGGGGCTGGTGTCTGATCTGGGGACCCAAGCCGGGAGGGGAAAAATCAGCTCAAGCTTTGCATCTTGCCCTACTCAAAGTAGCTGAGCGACCCCAGGTGACCCCAGAGAGGTCCAGCCGCCCCCTCCCGTCTCCTGGCCCCCAGCAGCTAGTGAAAAGCTTAGGGACTACAACTCCCAGCAGGTCTTGCTGCTAGTACTACTGCGGCTTCATCGCCCCGGAGCTGCAAAGGCTGCTGGGAGTTGAAGTTTTTCCTGAATCTCTGGGCTGCAGAAGACTAGGGTTTTTTTTTTTTTTTTTTTTTTTTTTTTTTTTGGAGAGGTGGGTGTTGGAAGGGTTAAAATGTCAGGGTCCCAGGACGCTGCAGGAGAGGTGAACGGTGTCCAGGACCTTGAGAGGTCATGTGGCTCTAATCACTTAGGGGCCGTGGGATGGGTCACTGATCCCCATGCACTGGGGATGGCTGGGCGAGGGGTGGAGTGCGCCCAGGTGTTTGGAATCAGAATCCCCCTTTTTCCAGGGCCACGTGCCCCTCCCCCGAGGCGTCCAGCTGGCACTGCAGACTCCAGCTCCGCAGCTCCAGATGC